TCGCTGCTAGGGAACTGCCTTGGTTAGTTCATTTTCAGACACAGGAAGGACCAATGAGTCAGGGCCAGAGTCTGCCCATGCGCTCTGCAGAGCCTCTAGGATGGCTCCGCCTCTTCCAGCTCCTCCTCTTCCCATCAAGGGCCTGACACTGCCCATTGACCACAATCCTTTTCTGCCTTTTGGCACTGGGAGCTTGTCTGTTGTAGGATGAAAGAGGAATTCTCTGCTGTCTGCAGGGCTTTCCCCAGGGAACAGAGCATGAAACCCAAACTTATATAAAATCATATCCTGTTTGCAAACATCATATTCCCTCTGCTTCTCACTAATCGGGTCCCATAAACCCCAGCACAGCTTGAGAGCCCATTCCTCATCTAAACAAATGCCATAAGCCCCTTTATACTTTTACAACCATGTCAAAAAATAATATTGCCTGCCAATAGTGATGTGATTGGAGTTGCCTCCTCCGAGCCATAAAAGAAGCGCAGAGTCTGTTATCAATTTCTCTAAGTGTATCAGGGGAATTATGGGTCGATTCAGTTCCAAGTTATAAATGACAACTCAAAAGCCGCAGAAGCGTTTGAAGCTGGGAGCTGATGACGACATTATCATAAAAGCCTGCTCGTCCTTGCTTTTGTGGGTTTTTTGTGGCCTATCAAGTGAAGAGGGGGAAAGAAGGCTGAGAAATGGCTTCAAGATTTCTCCACACAGCAGCAGGTCACCATTTTTAGTGATACACCCCGAGGAAGAGAGAGAGCTAATGTGGTCCTGCCCTGGCTATTGCTTGCAGTCTCTTTAATGATCTGATGCACTACGTGGGCCAAGGCCTGGAAATTTAGTAAAATGTTCTTCTTAGCTGTGTGTTTTCTTGTAGTGGAATCACTTCATAATTAGAAATGAGTCAAACCCTAGTGAGTAAGTAAAATGACACTCAAACACAAAGGAATTTAAAAACCCTGACATGGTTGCAACAAAACAGAGTTCTAGAGAGCTGGTTTTAAAACACCTTAAATACCCGTTTGCCCACTGAGTTTCTTGACCAAGACTTTAACTACCCGCAAGCAATTTTAGGGGGAAATTTAATCAAAAGCAGAGGTTTTCTGATTTCATAATGTTCCAGGTTGTCTCCTCAAAAGCCAATTAATCCATCAGAATTCAGTAGCTGCATATTAAACCCATCTAGAATAAAGCTATATACTCTAGGCAGCTACAATTTATTTTAAGAATTGGAAATCACTGAGTATTTCAGAATTGAAACCAATGGGACTATCTTGGATAATTTAAACCAGAACAGTATTGTAAGACAAAAGCAATTACCAAATGATTTCAAACCTCCAGGGCACCCCAACTATAAACCCAGCTACTCCAAGTTCATATTGGGTATCTTTTGTATGGTTATTATGTCTGGAGTTATCCTGGAGATGAAAATACAGACTAGTTCAAATCCAGAGGACCCAGAGTTCTTCCTATTAATTGTATTAAAACTAAAGACCTGGGGCTGGAGAAATGGCTCAGCAGTTAAGAGCACTGACTGCTCTTGCAGAAGACCCAGGTTTGATTCCCAGCATCCACATGGCGGCTACGAACGGCCCTTAACTCCAGTTCCAGGGGAATCCGAAGCCCTCTTCTGATCTCTGCAGCATTGTTCAACATGGGTGCACTCATATACATGGAAGCAATACACTCATACACATAAAATAAAAATAATAAATAAAATATTAAGAAAACCCTAAAGACCTAAGGGAGCAAGATGGCCCCTGAATGTTCAAGAAGATGATTTGGTGCCATAAAAAAAATTGCAGGCCCAAGATGGCTCAATGGGTGAAAGCACTCATGGGCAAGCATGGCAACCTAAGTTTGATGTCCAGAGTCTACAGTGAAGAATCAGCTCCCAAAAGTTGTCCTCTGACTTCACAAACCTGTACTGGCACATATATGCTAGCATACACATATGCATACACACATACACATACATGTGCACACTAGGGTGCACATATACATGCACATACTAATAAATTTAAAGAACATTAATTGCATAAACACACAAAACATATCAAACAAATTTACTACAGCATCAGCAAGCAGAAATTTGGTCCTGGGTGCATGTGCACATGTGTGTGTCTATACACGTACAGATACCTGGGTCTACCCAGGAGACAGAGGTCAACCTGATAAGCAAAGGGTTTCTCTCATGCCTTCTCAGGCTTCTCCAGGCCTGAGGGGCCCAACCTAACCCAGTTTTTCTCCTGCCTCTGCCCATACTAGCATTACCACCATCCAGATCTTGGATCCTGTCACGGATAATAGCAAGAACTTAACCTGTGGCCCCCACTGTGTTTCTTGTTGGGTGTACACAGCCAGCAGAAGTGGTCAGTTTTTAGTCTCTGAACACATTAAGAGATTACTGAAGTTGTTCTGGATGAAGGGTAAGTTAGCTTAGTATGGGTTTAATGAGAGTCCATCGAGGCACTTTAAGATGGTGAATACCAGGCATATTCCAGGTTAGATTTGGGAGCTAAGTCTCAGGGAGTCTCCCACAGTTCAGCTCTGTGTTGTGACTTAAATGTGCACGTACAGGAATGGGTTTGTTGCCCACAAATTTTTTAAAAAATGTATTTTCATTAATTCTTTGAGAATTTCATGCAATGTGTTTGATCATATTCACCCTTAACTCTGCCCCTTAATTCCTTCCAGATCCATTCCCACTCTCTTACCCCTGATTGATGTCCAATTCTATTTTTTTTTTTTTTGCTCTTTTTGAGACAGGGTCTCCCTGTAGCCCCAGCTGTCCTGGAACTCACTATGTAGACCAGGCTGGCCTTGAAATCACAGAGATCTGCCTGCCTTGCCTCCCGAGTGCTGGGATTAAAGTTGTGCACCACCATGCCTGGCCACTTCTATTTTTTTATTTACTATTATTTTATTTTATGTGTATGAGTGTATTACCTGCATGTGTGTAAGTACACCTGTATTATGCAATGCCCACAGAGGTCAGAAGAGGGTGTCAGATCCCCACGGAATTGGAATTACAGACAGTTGTTAGCCATTTGTGGGTGCTGGGAATCAAACCCAGGTCCTCTGGAAGAGCAGCCAGTGCTCTGAACCATTGATAGGGCTCTCTCTAGCCCCCTAGTTTATTGTTTTAATATGCCATTGACTTCAATTTGTGCTGTCCATATACTTCTGCCTGTAGCCCCAGATGGCCTGGAACTCACTATGTGGACCAGGCTGGTCTCACTCACATGGAGAACTGCTTCTGTCTCCTGAGTTCCTGGGATTAAAGACCTGTGCCACCACGCCTGGCCTCGGAGCCACATGCTTAAGGAAAACTGACTCTCCTTGTCATCTAAACAATCAACTGTCCAAAGCTTGTCAATATAAGCCCATGGGTGCAAGAGTGGCACGAATGTTATGGGGATAACCAACTGCTTTCTGATTGGATTTACGACCCACTCTTCTTTTAAGAACTTTGATTTCCTCCCCATCGCCATTCCCATGGAGTAGTTATTAGCTTTGTTTCATTCTTTGCCTCATCCATAGGTAAGCAACTTTTCTCCTCAGTCACATGGCATACATTAGAACACAAGGGAAAAAGCCATTTCAAACGTCATTTTCAATTTTTGTTTATTAGAATGATTTTTGTAAGCTCCCAGCACCACATGGGGTTTGTAACAAGGACTAATGTGGGTTTATGATTATCTTGGGTCAAGGATCAAAAAGCAAAAGTCACTGGTGAGCTGCCAAGAAGGAGGGCATACTGCTTTAGCCACACTAAGCACTGCGAGGCTAAATGGATGGAGTGAGTCTAGGGGATGCAACCACCTGTTAAAGATGAAGCCCATGAAAGAATCTGCAAAGCTTCTTTGCAGTGCCTACACATGAGTCTACCCTTCAGTGCTTCCAGCTTTTCACTTCCGGCTATGCAACTTTAGAAAAATCATTTCACTTCTCTGGACATTCAATTTCTCACTTGCAAAATGATGTTAATAACAATAATAATAACTATATACATTTTACTGGCTTCAAAACTTCTGAGTTGTATACGGATAAACTATAAAGTTCAAATGGATGTTAGTTGAAGTTGTCATTATTTCCAGAGGGGCGGGATCACAGATGAAGGAGTAGAAAGGTAGCCCTCACTAAGTCAGGCATCATTTAAATGATAAGAACAGAAAATATATGGGATTTCCCTGCATAAAAGTTACAGCCAAGAATTGTCTAAAACTTGATAAATACATGATTAGTTTTGCTCTCTTCCTTCAATAGAGATGAAATGTAATTGATTTAGAAGTTTTAGTCTTTGGAAACCTGACCTAGAGTTATGTTGTCCTGATGTGACTTGGCACTTTCTTTTAGAGAATGAAGGTTTGTTACTGGTAAGGGTTAACTTTAAATAGATTGCAGGCTATACGGTTTGTTCTAATCGTCCACAAAAATGTAGACATTTTTCTTCAGATGTTGCTATATTTGAACAAATTTGTTCTTGAAATGTGGTATAAATACTCTGGGCCAAAGGCCTTGTTAATTATTGAAGACAAAAATGACCTCAAGGGGTTCACAAACAACATATCCCATAACGCAAAGCACTTCGTGCAGTTTGTTCTGTTTTCATCAGGAACATAATCTATGTGCATAGCTCTTGCAAGTCTACTGAAAATTGAATTCTGCTGCAGAATTGTGTGAAAAAGTCTCATACCAACATTTTTCCAGCTGTAGAAAAGTCTAGATAAGCTAGCTTCGTGTTCGAGTGCCTTGTCACACAGCTTGTATAATGGGCTTCAGTATTGGTTTAGTTCTTTGCTATTATCATACCGAAATCCTTAATACTTTTAAAACAGGTTTCTCTGCATTTGAAAATCAGCTCTGCAAGCCACACAATTCGTTCTGAAGTCAATGATCACCTTTACTGAAAAACAACCTTAACAACTAGAGAGATAAATCAAAGGAGATATATTTTTTGTAAGTTTGTGTAATTTAAAAGCAGTAAACAAACTCAAACTTACCCCAAGTCCACCACAAGGTAACGAGGAAAAAAATTTTTGAGAATCATCACCTATACAGTAAGAAGACATGAAAACATACAACTTGTGAGTATACAGTTTTTCAATTTTTGGTGTTTATTTATATATAACATGCCATGTGGTATTCATTTTTGGACTCATTAGAAAATTAAAAATATTTTATACTAATTGAAGTTTATTTTCACTACTCTGTTTATATGCATACACAGAACTCAAAGCAAATGAAAACAAATATCATTACACATAGAATTTGTTACCTCACATGAACGAGCATATGTCAATGAAATTTGGGCCCCAAAATGTTTTGTTTGTCTTACAAAGATTCATCAGATCATGGCTCCTGAGGGGACTTTGTGGGTCCCAGTAAGACTCCTCCTTGAGCTTCTGCCAAAACTTCTTCCTACCTCTTGCTCCCCAAGGTTACAGAATACCTGAACCCCATCCCCCTAGTTCCCTCTCTCCTTGGGTTGGGTGGGAGTGCTTTCTGGATTAATCCGAATACAGGGTAGATAGGCTGATTCAGCCCTCTGCCCTGCCCTAAATCCACCCTCTTATTTTTTGGAGATAAATTGTTCAATCCTAAAAAAAAAAAATTGTTTTGTTTTGAGATAGGTTGTCATTTTATATCCCAGACTAGCCTGTATGTAACTCAGTCTGTAGCCTAAGCTGGCATTGAACTCATTTGGGTCACCCTTCTTCATTCTCTACAGTGCTGAGTCATTGTACCAGGTAAAATATTAAAAACATATTTTATTTATTATTTTTATTTTATGTGTGTGAGTGTATTACCTGCATGTATGTAGGTACACCCGTGTCATGCAATGCTTGTGGAGGTCAGAAGAGGGTGTTGGAGCCCCTGGAACTGGACTTACAGACAGTTGTTAACCACCATGTAGGAGCTGGTATTTGAACCCAGGTCCTCTGAGAGCAGTCAGTGCTCTTAACTGCTAAGCCATCTCTCGAGTCCCATATGCTATCATTTTATGAATTACAATTTATGGAAAGTAGCTCATCTATTTACTGAGTATATTCCTCCAATATTATGGTTCAAGCTACAAGGTTTATGAAAAATGTATATATATACATATATATATACACTTTATATAGTATTTTCTTAAATGTACACACTTAGTTTTAATTTATACTTTATAAATATGTATATTTATATAGACTCCATCTAAGGTATAGCTAAATGTCAAGTACTCCTTAGGCCTCTCCAGTGTTCAGAGATTTTTAAATAAAGTGTGATAAGAAGGATAATCTCATTTTGGGTATCTAAATGTCAATATTAAAAACTGCCTTCCTTAGAACTGAATGCCAAAATATTTATTGTGATTATATCTTGGAACTGAGGTTGGATAGTAAGCATCAGTGTGGAACCAGGTACAAGTTTCCAGTTCACCTATGTACTACTGATAATCAATGATTAAATGATTGATTAATCACAATTAAAATTAGAAGCAGGTTTGTGGGGAAATATATCATCTCAGTAAAAGTACAAATAGATTGTAGTGTCATATAAGAAAGTTTGTTTTGATAAAAATAAATTTAATGTGCTGAATTTTTTTTTAAATGAAAGCATCTAGTTAAATAGATTCCAACTTAAGAAAATGAACATTCAGCTCAATGATACAGTACTTGCCTAGCAGGCACAAGGTGGGCAAATCTGATTACATCTTAATATTAAAACTGGAGTACTGGAACCGGTAACAGATACTTTTAAAAATAATTCTGGGGCCAGAGAAATGGCTCAGTGGGCTGAAATGTATGGTGGCTGGAATTCAGTCCTCATAGCCCACATGGTAAAAGAAGAGTGCCTACTCCTGCAAGAAACCTCTGACCGCATGCGTGCTGTGGCATGCATTCATTGGCACACATGTCCCACTCCCAACACAGAAACAATAAAAAATTTCTGCATAACACTTAACAAGGGGTAAAGGTTGTTTTTTTTTAAATGTTTCTTTCTTTCTTTCTTTCTTTCTTTCTTTCTTTCTTTCTTTCTTTCTTTCTTTCTTTTTCTGTTTCTTTCTCTTTCCTTCCTTCCTTCCTTCCTTCCTTCCTTCCTTCCCTCCCCCCTTCTTTTTTTCTTCTTTTCCCTTCCTTCCTTCCTTCCTTCCCTCCCTCCTTCTTCTTTCCTTCTTTTTTTGTTGTTGCTTCTATTTTTTCTGTTTATTATTTTTATTTTATGTGTTTGCATGTATTGCCTGCATGTATGTGAGTGAACCCGTGTCCTGCAATGTCGCAGAGGTCAGAGGAGGGCTTTGGATTCCCCTGGAACTGGAGTTAAGGGTGGTTCATAGCTGCCATGTGGGTGCTGGGAATCGAACCCGGGTCCTCTGCAAGAGCAGTCAGTGCTCTTAACTGCTGGGCCATCTTCCCAGCTTCTGCATTTTGAGACAGGGTCTCAGCATGTAGTCCCAACTGGCCTAAAACTCACTACGTAGACCAGGCTGGCCGGATTCATGAATTCACAAGGATCCACCTGCCTCTGACTCCCAAATTCTGGGATTAAAGACATGTGCCACTACGCCTGGCTGGGTTGTTTATGTCATTACACTTAACAAGGATATTCATACATCCTTGAATATTTTGCAAGAGTATCTGAATGTATGAAATTTAAATTAACAAGATAGATATTAATATAGAAACTCTTTATTAATAGGCAATCAAAGATTAAAAAATGTTGTACGAGCCTGCTTTTAATCCCAGCACTCTGGAGGCAGAGGCAAGCAGATCTCTGTGAGTTCAAGGCTAGCTTTGAACTGGTCTACATAGCCAGTTCCAGGCCAGATGGGGCCTACAGGGGACCCTGACTCAAAAGGACAGAAAAAAATTTGCAATGTGATAAAGTATTTTTAGGAAATTTTTTAAAATTATTAAACCCAGAGAATATGGAAAATTAATTTATTTAGTAATATTTAAATTTTGTTTAGTTATGGTAACAGTAAAAATGAGACAAATAATTGAAAATTTCAATTTACCTGTGTGCAAGAAAATTTTAAGTCACTACATCGACTGAACTTACTCTTTGACAGTACTATATTTACTTATCAATAGCCTGAAACCTGACTAGCCACAAGATAATAGGTCATGAAAATAAGAATGACAGGAATATTAATGCTAAGGAAAACCTATAGGACATGACTGGAGAGAACATTTTCAAAGCATCACCTTCGAAGTCTAGAGTAGTTAAAGAAATAAATGGCAATTATATTAACATCTAATTGTTTTGTAGCTTATAGATGTCATTTAAGATACAAGACTTATAGGTGTAGTCACACTGAATTTTTATTTAAATCCTTCCTCCTAACTCTAGAACTTGACTATCAAGAGTGCAGTATCAACTAAAGCCAGAAATGGCCATGCCCATCTTGTTGGAAAGAACTGGGCAGGGGCGGGGGGTAAAAAGTTACCAAGTAGTGAAAGGAATGGCTAAAGGGAAGCAAAGCATCTTCATTCTGAATTTCTAAACATGGCTCCTAACCTCATCTGTTAGGAATAAGTGAAAGACAAACTATAAAAATCCAAACTCATAAGGAGCAAAAAGCAATTTTTTTAAGAGAACTGGGTGATTTGCTAAGATCCAAGACTGAGGAATATCAGCTACATTTTTAGTTCTCTAAAAAAGTTTAAGGAGTTCTGAAATGTTGTCAAAATTGAATATAGTGCTTGAACTCAAGGTGTCAGAAAATGAAGAGCCCTGTACTCCCTGCATTCGGGTGGCCCATACGGAAAGTGTTGCCTTGGACACTGAAAGACATCTGTAAAACTGTATGCATATAAGTGCTAACTCAAATATCTAGTTAGAGAGATGACAGATAGATGATAGATGGATAGATAGGTAGACAGATAGAGGTAGATATTATGAATATGAAAAAATATGCAAATTCAAAATTGTTAATTTTAAGTCTAAAAGTTTTAATAAGTTTAAAAACACTCAGACTTTGGGGAAACTCAGGCTTATTTAAAATTGTCAAATTTCATTTGAATTAAACACTGCCATAACTCATAAAAAAGTGTGATGTTGTCCAAGTTCAAACTTTATTTCTGTAACAAATGACTTTGGTTTTAAAATATGAAATTATGGTCATTAGAGAGTGCTACATGCATCAATGTATGCATGTGGATGCTTTTATCTGCTCAGTCCCAGGATGTTCAAATGAAGCCCAGAAGTATGTAGCCTTATAACTGACTTGATTATACTCTGGGACCATAAGGGGGAAAGAAAGCAATAGGGAGACGGTTTCAGCTTGTTATTTTGCAAAAACTTAAAAATAGTCATACTTTTTAAGTTTAAATACTTGAGTATGTAGGTGTTACAAAACCATGACAATTAAAATGTCTGTGTTTCTCATCTTTATGTTAGTTGGGTAGGGTTAATAATTCCTGTTAAAATATGAGCATGTATTAAACAGCATCCGTAGCAAAAAGAAGGGCTTTATGTAAAGCATCTGTATGTAAAAATTGTGGTTTCTCCAAAGGAAGAAAGAACTGGGTGTGTTGTCACATTCCTACATCCTTATAATCAGGCTCTTGAAAGGCTGAGAGGAAGATCAGGAGTTCACGGCCAACCTGGGCTCTGAGGCTCTTTCTCAAAAAAAAAAAAAAAGAAAAGAAAAGAAAAGAAAAAAGAAAAGAAAGAACCAATAAAAGGTGGTTTAGAGCGTAGATTTGTAAAATGACTTGTTTACACCTATTATATTATTATATCAATCTAATATCTATCTAAAACTTTCATTCTTCTACATAAATTGTTTACCATCATCAAATCTGAGCAATATTCTCTCTAAAAACCTGAGCAATCTCTTTGTGCTCTCCTCTCTGATTATTTCTCACCAAGCTATGAGACCTATTCTGACGCACACATGTGCAGAGCACATTCACTAGTGAAGGAAGGCATCTTTCCTTCCTGTATCTGGGGATGCTTGCCATTCATTTAAGAAAAGCTTGTAAATGTTACAATGGACAACTAGTTCCCATTATTGCTTCCAAGCTGATCACCATCACATGCTGTGCACTTGCTGTCCACTATTCAAGGACAGCTGATATAATTATTTTGAACAATATTACATTAGGTAAGACTTTGATCATTTGAGACTGGCTCAATAGGTTTTGTTGAAATAGGCAATAGAAGGTTTTAAAATGCCTTTTTTTTTAAATCTAAAGTTGAATTATAATTATTTTAGTAAATGTTTCCATGTTATATATTGTTATTGAATTATAAAAGTTATGAATAAAATATAATTTCCACTAATGCTGTGTTACTAATTTTTCCTCAAAATATTTTTCTTCAAGCATCCATACAAAGCTCTGCAACTTAAAATTTATAAATTTCTTTTAAAATCTGATGATAAAGTTTTGAAAAAAATCATACATTGAAACAAATTACAATTATTAGTTTCTATTTGAGTCATTTACTGTAATATTTAATTCCCACAGGTAGGCATGTATTCAATAGAGTGCATTAAGATTTTAAGTGCAACTTTGCTATAAACTATACTATCCTATCCTGGTAGTAAGTTGGCACTTAAATAAGTTGCACTATTATGTGTGAAGGTCAAAAAAAAAAGATCTAAAAGATACAAAATAAATAGGAGAGGTAAAGATAACTTTTCATAAAGAATGTGAAAAGTTCTTTTGACCTTTTTGTCTAAAAATAAAAGCAAACAAATTTGGTAATGTATATATCTCTATATGTAAAAGCATCCCATATAATTGCTGTTCAAATAGAGGTTAATTTATAAACAAGCAAGATTCTGAGTTAACTTTTTCTAATGCAGAATATTCTTATCTGTATTGGCTTCTGCCTTAAACAAGTCATTCTACACAGTGATGCTGCTGGAAAAGTTGATTTTCTTTGTCACACTGCTTGCCAAGGACTTTGAACTGACAGCAGCGTTGACTAATGGTAGTGTTGGAATGTGCTGTTCTCAGTAGAATAGAGGCCTGTACAGACCTAGGAGTATCCTGGGGTCCAGCTTCTGTCCATCCAGGGGGCTGGTGCCGTACAACAGTGAGTGATGTTCAGAATGAACAAGCTGTATTTCCTCTAGGCTGGCTTTTCGACCTTGAATTCGCTGAAAGAAAACAGTAGAAACCTCCAGCACTCCACTGACAACATTTAGAAGAAAATGAGACCTCAAATCACATTTAAGATGATTTAATAGCAAGCTCAGATTCATCATGCAGGAATGTGACGTGGATTTGCTTCACAAAGTACCATAATAATACTTGGAAAATAAGCATACACAAGGTTCAGATCCTGTGGTTGTTTAAGGCTAAACAGGCAACGGGCAACATAACATTTTTCTTTTCTGGCATTAAAAAGAAATCTACGAGAAGGAAATTAACAGTTGATTTTCTGTATGAAAGAGTCTGCTTAAGAGCAGGGGCCCTGTTTATCTGATAGGCAAACTATTAACATGTTATGTTTCACTTATCTGAAGAAGACACAGCAATGAAGGATGTGATAAATACCATTATATGTCTCTGTATCTGATTGTCACTATCACAAGCAAGATGATTACTTCATGTGTGTATTCACTGTGGTAGCATTACTCTAGACCAGTTATTCAGAGTGTGCCCTAGAGGATACATAACAGCTCGGAGTCTGCTTATCAATGGCCTAAACTTAGATCAGTACAGAAATTTGAAGATGATATTTAGAAACTTACATTGCAGTCTGATAGTACTTTAATGTCTTTTGAATCTAACAAAATATTATGTCTTCATTTTCTATTTCACTCTTACAATAAATCATTTAATGTATTTTATAAAAGTATTAGTCTGTGACAGATCGAAAATTAAACAGAAATAAAAGCTGCTGTTTAACCAGAGATAATTTAAGACTTCTAGACTCTGTCAATTTTTTTTTACACTCAGGTTAGGCAGAGGACTTCACTCCTTACAAAGAATCAGTTGTCATAATATACAAAATTATTCATTAAATTAAATTTCAATTAGCCAACATGTGATGTGGTTTCCTGGCCACAGTTCTCAGTTTCCATATCTATGAATTGAAAAACATTATTCTAGTGTATGACATTAATTCACCTTTACTTTTGGAATAGCTGTGCTTTTTAAAACTACACACACAGAATTAATGCTACACTTAAAATATGTATCCCCACATGGCATTTGAAAGTCAATCCTTAAGCAGAGAACTTCAGTGAGATTCAAAAAGAATCTGTCCAGTGAGTGCTATCCCACAATCCAGAGCTGGAACCACCAGACAACTTGGAAGAATACCTCTCTGGGGACCAGGACAATTCCATCCTCAGCCTCCTGAATATAAGGTGATGTAGGCACCTGCTCTAGGCAGGCTGTTCAATGCTGCTATTTGGTTCACTGAGAGGGCAGGCTGGGGCATCATCTACATAGTGACACTCAAGGTTTACTAGGCAGGAGGCAGAGCTGTGCTTGTCAGTAAAGTAAACGATCAGGTCACAGTCAGGAAGGAATGGCAAGAGACCACAGGGCAAGGGGATGATGGGAAGCAGAATGCCCTCGACCTTGCATTTATGTGCCAGATAAACAAGCAGATACTTCTGGAATCTTCTTTGCCATAAGATTGAAGTTCCCTGTTTTTGACACTATCCTTCATCATTTATAACCCAATTTACATTTCTAAAAAATAAAGATATGCTTTAGAGAAATTATTTATAAGTAATACAAAAATTCTGATGTAGAAGACTAAGACAAATTTGGTAATGACCAGTGGTGGTCAACTACTGCTTATTTATAGAGATAAATGAGTGGCTGGCAAACATGAAATTTGGAAAAGCTTATGAAAGACCAGGACAAGCAAAGAGGTAGAATAACAAGTACAAGGTAAAATAAGTAATAGAAAACTAAAAAGTATCTCAGGCATAAAGTTTAGCTGCAAGATTTCAGAGAGTAGAAAGCTCCCCTCTGAAAGCATGGTACCTCCATGCTTTTAGTCATCTAAAACTTGAGTGTGCAGAGCTCTGGAAAACAGATGGTACAGTCAGTCCTAGTCTAGCATAATGTTGAACACCAGGAAAGAAAAGGGCGTCTAGTCCATAGACACTTGAATCATGAACTGACATAGCAAAATAGTGACACTTGAAATAATGTCAAATTATTGTTTACTTAGAGTATTGGATATTGAACCCAAGACTTCCTGAATGCTAGGCGCACACTCTACTCTTAAGTTCCATCCCCAGCACTCTTTGCACTTTATACTTGAGACAGGGTCTTACTAAGTTGCCAGGATAGCTTTGAACTTCTAAGATTCCTGCTTTAGTCTACTAAGTAACTGGGAATATAGGGCACACAATCATGCTAGGTTACCAATGTCAATTCTATAGTTAATATTCAGACTCATGTTTTGAATACTATACTGTCATAAATCTTCATCAATTTTTCTCCCATTTTTCCTATTAAGAATTTTTCAGCTCTACATTGAGTTTTTGCCTCAGTTATAATATTAAATGTCACATCACTAATAATAAATATATTTACATTTTCCCATGTTAGTCACATAAATTTCCACACTATACACTCCAAACTTGTCTAAATATTTTTTTCCAGTGATTCGAGTAGCATTCCATCTGAAAACCTAGTCACACTTTCAAACAATAATCTGTTAAAAAGATCCACGGTATGGACAGTAGTTCATGTGCTGGCAGATCACAAAAGGACACCTTCTGAATCATACTCATCCCTTCGGTTAAGATCAGCCAACAGGCAGTAAGGACACTGTCTAGCCCTGCTATCCAGTGTGAATTGTTCTGTGTCTTCACACCAGTTCATATGCCCCTTCTAGCTTCAATTTTAAAATGTACTACTACTGCTCATAGGTTTTAACCTTGATCTCTCTCTCATTCTCCTCCTCCCCTCCCTTCCTCCTCCTCCCTCTATGTGTGACTCAGACAGTGTACATGTATATCATATATTATATATAATATATATTACCAAATGCTTTTTACTATTACAACTCATTCTTTTAGTTTAGGGTTGGTTGGTTTCCTATGTTTAGGGTTTTTGTTTGTTTTGTTATTTGAGATTGGATTTTACTATGTATCCCAGCCTGGCCTCACACTCACCACCATCTTCCTGCCTCAGTCTCATGAGCACTGGAAATACAGGGATGTGCCTTGAAGAGTTTATTCCTAATCTTTAGACCCTGTCCCACCTCAACCTGACAAACATATAGTGCACCGTACCATAGAAAGAAGTAGTGAGAACAAGTTTATGACAAGCGTTTCTACCTCCAGAGGGACCAGGAGAAAGCATCTTTTGAGATTTGAGTCTCACAGACACTCCTGTGTGGGAGCCTAAAGGATGGCCGAGTTAAGATTACCAAAGCTGCAGCCTCGCTCTTTCTTAACAGTCCTAAGTGGGCTCTGCTTCACATCAGTTTTGTCAGTGGCCTTAAATTAGACACATTCAACCTTATTGATCTCCAGTTCTCATTTCTAATTTAATCTTTCATTTGTTTATGAGGAAGTGTAGATATTTTATTTCATCCCTACTCTATTTCCTGTGTGCCCTTTACTCTTCATTTCTCTCTTTCTCAAGATGCTCTTGAGAGTCAAAGGTCAATAGCATAATGAGTTACAAAATAGGGCCAAGTGCTCTGATCATCTTAATTTAGGGAGATACGATTTCCGTTCTCAGAGATACTTGGCTGGTAAGATAGTTATGTAATACCATCTATGATATTTTGATGCAAAGGACTTTAGAGAATTCTGTGAGTATTAAGACATGTAATGCATGTAGGAGATGCTGTTCATCTGGGGAGTTCTTCCATGAGGTCCAAATAGGTCCTGGGTCATTGTAGGTCAGGCAATGCGCACTTTCAGCTCTTCCCTCTTCCCAACAAAGAAACACTGTGAGCCAGGTTTGTGATATTGTCCTGTTACCATTCCCTGTGCCTTCAGTCAACCAGTGTCACCAGGGAGTAGAAAAGAACTACAGTTTAATGAGAGCCTATTCTATGCTTAGGAGTGTGATCAGATTCAATCCAGATACCAAGACGGTGTCTGTTCAGATTGGAAGTCTGACTAGAGTCATGTAAAATTACCAAATCATTGAGTCTCACAATGCACCATGGTTCTTTCCTAAAGAAATATCTTTCTGAAATAAAGCCCATTAATGCAACCTGATTATAGAAGGAATGTTCTGAACACGATCTACAAAGTCATACTGTGACAGGATAAAACGTGGCCTACCCACACCCACCCACACACAGAGCGCACACCCGGTATAGATTCATATTTTTTTCTGCAAGAAGCAGGAAAAAAAGGAAACAGTTCTATTCCTTCCCCTCCTGTGTTCAAAGCCTGGATTGAGGCCAGTGTCCTAATCAGTTCTCATTGGCCCTGGAGGAATCAGAACCTTTTGTAAAATATAATAAAGGGCATAAAATCATGATAAAATGCATGAAAAAGCAGTGCCTTTGGTTAGGGAACTAGAAATAATTTAGCAGAACAGATGGATTGCATTGGTTTGGTATTATTGAGGACATGAAAGGGCTCATTTTGTGGCAGTTCCAAACTAAGAGAAAATGTCCAACTTAAATTTGACAAGTCAAAGTACCTGCGTCCTCTGGGGGGGACTGCATTTTCTTTAATCATTTTCAAAGTAGTGACATATTAGGCAAGAACTTCTTCTGAAGTATCTGATTTTCTAAGATTTCATTCACTGTCCTCAAATGAAGGATGTGTTTTTATTTATTTATTTTTTCTACCAAAATATACAAAGCGGCCAGCATTCGGAGTTTGGGGGAAGGGTGAAAATGAACTGTAAGTGACTTGTTACTGTCAAAGTTGCCTTCTACACCATAGTAAGGTTTAATGGCTCAAGCCTGGTCTATTGATTATTCTTTATACACAGTTTTCTCTGAATACAAAAAGAAATGTGGCCTCATTATTCATGCCCAAGCATATATCTCCTTTAATTTTAAAATGCTGCCATCACTGTTTCTTTGAAAAGTACATAAAAAGATGCTTTTGTTTTTCAATTGCTCTTAAGATGCTTAATCTCTTCCCTTGGAGGTTCCATCATGTAATCACCTGCTTTCCTCAGAATGTTCTTCATAATGTAGAGTGGA